GACCTCTGCGGGCATTGCACGACACGGGTGCATTTACCTACATGCAGGCAATACACACATACACATAAAATAAAATAAAATAAAAAAACAAAAAAACAAACAAGGCTGGGCGTGATGGTGCATGCCTTTAATCCCAGCACTCAGGGAGGCAGAGGCAGGCAGATCTCAGTGAGTTCCAGCCAGCCTGGTCTACATAATGAGTTCCAGGCCAGGTGGGGCTACAGGGAGACCCTGTCTCAAAACGACCAAAAAAAAAAAAAAAAAAAAAACCCAAAACAAACCAAAAAACTCAAGGTGAATCTGGGGATGGTGATGCACACCTTTAGTCTCAGAACTCAGGAGGCAGACACAGGCGGATCTCTGTGAGTTAGAGGCCTACCTACTCTACATAGTGAGTTCCAGGCCCCAGCTGGGGCTAAGAGGGAGACCGTCTCTAAATAAATAAATAAATAAATTACCGTGATTCATTTAGTATTTTTCATGGTAGTTAAGATGAAAGTTTAAAACGTAACTATTTTCAAGTTTTCTGTATAATTCCACTGATCCTTCTATATTATATAATCACTGTAATTTTTAAAACATATTAACTTAGACTACAGAGCAAGTTTGAGAAAAGCCTGAGATACGTGAGACACTGTCTTAAGAGAAAAAATTAAAAATGAACTCAGAAAAAAGCATGTTAAAATGACATGAGGGAAGGTGTTTCTTGTCTTAATTGCACATTACAAAATTTAAAAATATTTAATGACACAGAAACACAAATTGCATGTGAAAAAAGCAGCTAATATTTTATTTTACCTGTTATTGTTTAATTGTATTAGAAGAAAAAAGGTTAGAATATTAGAAGAAAGTCAGAACACTAACAATTAGCCTAGGGATTAGAGTTTCTCCCTGTGTAATACTCTCTTGTGTTTTCTGCAAGTTATATTAACAAGAAAGATACTAAAAAGTCATCCTTTTTCTTGCACAGTGGTTATACTGCAGAAGTAAGACCTACAAACAATTCTTGAGGGTTGTAAGTTTCTTCCCTAAAAACTCTCTTAAAGACAAACAAAACCATCAAGCACCAAAAATTTACATAATAATGAAGGTTATTAAGTTCCTCAAGATGCTGTGGAGGAGACACAAGGCTAAGCCTTGTGACAGAGAAATGAAGAAACTTGATGATACTATTCTTCATAACACTCAGACAAAAAGACTTCCTAATTACTGCCAAGTCAAATTAATTATAATATTCCTAAAAAGCATGAGGCTGTGGGAATACATGAATATTCTCAATATCTGGATCTGGAAATCAGAAGACATTAATACTGGAAAGAGAGAAAACCAGTAGGGTAGATATAGTGTAAACAAGCATTTGTTTCCAGATCCTTCAAGTAAAGCTGCTTTACAGAACAAAAAAAGACAAATCAGCTCCCATCAACAGATTCAGGAAATTTTTACTACACCAGTTATCTGCCTCCCATTTGGTATAAGAGAGCTATTATTAACATGCCTGACAGAGAAATTTTCTTTTAACACATAAGCTATTATTTTATTACTAGAACACAATGGTACTCATGGAAAAAGATTACTCTAAAATATTCCCAAGGGTTCAGTTAGTAATCCGTTCCTTTCTTCCATTTAGGTATTAAGAGAAGATAAAGTACTCACACACCTGGCATGGTAGTGCAGGCCTTTAATCCCAGCACTTGGGAGGCAGAGGCAGGTGGATCTCTTTTGAGTTCCAGGCTAGCCTGGTCTACATAGTGAGTTCCAAGACAGTTGAGGCTACAGGGAGATGTGTGTGTGTAAAACCAAAGTACTCACAAACTCACCCCTTCTTGGGTCACTTATCTCGGACACATACATCTTCCAGATTCCTCATAAAGTTTTTCAGAGAAGGGCTTGAATTTGTAATGGATTGAACTTTTCATACCTGCCTCTTCCTCAAAGTTCCTATCTATTCTAACAGTGGCTCCTCATAGCTTAGTCAGAATTTAAAAATGCATTTTCGCATTAAAAAAAAACAATTTTCACTTTAAGAGGTTATAGTCATATTGTCCTAATTAACATAAGGAGTCATTTCAAAGAAGCAGAGTTGAAGACCTGTTTCTAGTCTTACAGACACTACCCCACTACAAAGTTTGTGAAAGAAGTTATCACACTGGGTCATTCATGTATCTCATGCCTTTACTGAGAAGTCCCTATTTTTGAACACCACATACTTTCAACTAGGAGCTTAAAATTCATATTCTTTTGTTGTTGCTGGTTTTTTTTCATTTTATGTGTACAAGGGTATTGCCTGCATGCATGTAAGTGCATCTGTGTCATGCAATACCCGTGGAGGTCAGAGGGGGTTAGATTCCCCTAGAACTGGAGTTACAGATGGGGGTTAGCCACCATGTAGGTGCTGGGAATCAAACCCAGGTCCTCTGCAAGAGCAATCAGTGCTCTTAGCTGCTGAGCCATACTCTCCAGGCCCCAAATTCATATTCTTATCAAATACTGATGGACTGTAAATTGGTACATCCACTTAAATTAGCTAGAGAAGCTGAAAAATCTCCATTACACGAAATCAAAGAATCCCAACCCTAGATGTGTATGCATCCAAGTGTGTGTAAAGGGTAGTTGTGCAAGAATGCTCATAGTAACACTGACAGCTACAAACTGGAAGCAATCTGGATGCTTATCAAGAGTAGAATGGATAAACAGAATATCAATATAACAATATAGAAAAGGAGATCAACTACCAGAGCTGCACACAACATGGATAAATTCAAAACACAATGGGAAAAGGAAGACAACAGTAAAAGAGCTAGAGATAAACCCTGTCTCAAAAAACAAAGCTGGTAAATGTAAAGACAAAGACTGAGATTATCATACAGACCAAAGCAGTAGTCTTCCCTAAGGATTAAGATGCTATGTGTAGGAATGGGTAAGGATGCTGGCATTCTGTAGTGTAGAAGTAGTTACACTGATGTTCACCTTATAACTTTTTTTTTTTTTTTTTTTTTTTTGAGACAGAGTCTCCCTGTAGCCCCAGCTGACCTGGAACTCACTATGTAGACCAGGCTGGCCTTGAACTCACAGAGATCCACCTGCCTCTGCCTCCCAAGTGCTGGGACTACAGGCGTGCACCACCATGCCCGGCTTTAATCTTATAACTTTAAAAAATAT